CCATGAATCATAAATCATAGCCGCGTTATATCGCGGATTTGCAAACAGCCCCGTACGCCGTCGAAGACGCATCCCGCCGTTCCGCGAAATTTACGGCTCTATTGAAGAGTGTTACGCGCCCGTGACACGCGTTGAAGCGTTTACACCGATCGAAAATCAAAGTGATACACTGCGTTGCGTAACTGTAAAACCGATACGAAAATCTTCCGATTCTTGTGTGGTGTTCAGTTTACTCGAAAATCGAGTGTACGTATATATCGAGAAACAATGTTTCTTCTATAGGGGAAAACATTTTTCTATCTGCAATGGGAACGGAGTTACAGTCTAAAACTATCAAGCAAGTCAAAATGACTTGTCAGTACATTCTTATGACGATGATTAAAGTGTTATAAGTAGAATGCAACGATTTTTCTATTTTTTTCTTAACTCAATATAACTATATATATAATTTTCTTAACTACTTTTGTTCTTGTCTTCAAGAATTACTTTATAAAATTTTATTTTCCATAAAAATCCACAGTTTAGTTATAATAATATATTTGCTCGGATCTTTTCAATTTTCATTGCGATATGAAAGTGAAGAAATTAGTTAATTTATAAATTTGTAAATTTTCAAAAGTTTGTCATGTTTATCGACCGATCGAAATAAATGTGCGTTTATCGGTGGTAGTTCTAGTGTTAATGGTGGAACGCCCGTGAGAGTAACAGTTATCAGTGCCTGCAGATTTTATTTATCTATAATCTATGGCATAGTGCAAAACACAATAAAATAGAAACTTTAAGGAAACATAGTGAAGATTTGTATTTAATTTTGAAAACTGTTTCTGTATCGTCTTGTATAGAGTACTGTTTCTCGTAGATTATCGTTACGCCTACTTGTTTGGCATCACTTAATTTCAACCAATCGCGAGTTCTGTTTCTCATCTTTCTAGGAAGTCCTGAACTGCATCATAGACGAATTGATTCTTCAATTTGTCGATGGAAATTTCTGTTCCGTGCGAGCTATGGTTTTTTCTAAGAAAGACAGCGTGATCTAAAGATCGAATCTAGAACCTCAGTGAGGGATTCATGAAAATGTTTTTGTTTTCGATAACCTTCATTTGTTACAAATATTTGATAATGCAAGTATTAACTTTTTAGAGATTCCATTAAATATAATCTGAATAGCAGTTTTTCAACAACTTATAGAACAACAATACTTTTTATTCGTAACATTCTGTTCGCGTTCTGGATCTCGAAGAGAAATATAATTTTTTAACGAACCAATTCTTTTTTCCGTAAATAATATTTAATGCCAAAAATAAATTCAACAAACTTGTTTATATAAGATTCTTTGTTGTGATTCCCCCATAAAAAATAGACTAAATTATATATTACGAAATTATAACAAACACGAGTAAAAATTTATAATACTTAACAAAATTTTATAAAATAAATTTTCAAAAGTCATTGTAAGGAAAATGTGATTACACATGCACAATAAAATAAAGTATATAGAATTTCCTATAATAAGACGAAACAGTATTGTTTAAAGCCTTTGTTCATTGACGTTCTAGAAGAGATTCAAATCGTGGCAATCCATCACTTCTAAGAATCACATTTGTCTTCAGAAACAAATGTGATCGCCGTGAGTACACGCTTGTTGATCTTCCTCCCCGTATTTTTCTTCTGCGTCCTCGTTATTACATAATACGCGTCTGGTGAATGATTCGTCTTAAACGTCCAAGGCAACGGATTACTGCAATTTATCGTATCACTTGATACGCCGATGACTAATAAACAGAATGCAATGTTATGCAACGTCGTGTGTACGAGGGTCATTGGTCATTCAACCTGCTGTAGCATTGACACAATGTACTCGCTGATTGGGCCACGGTAATGTGTTCGAACTTGCATGATTACCTTGGTGTATTATTTACGTGGCGTGTGAAAGCACCGATAGTCCGTATAACTGCAGGCATTTAATTAAATATCGATTGACTTTTACTTAATACCACAGTTTATGGGTCCTTTTAACGGGTTAAAAAAATAATTGGGCCGGAATTTTGAAATGAAATATCTATTTAAAGAATTTGATAAATATAAAATGAATTACTTTGCGCGTACCGTTCAATTATTATGGTTTAAATAATGTTGATTTAAATGCATTATAAATTGACTACGGAACTTTGTGCAAATTAACAATTGTAGCAACGAATATTTAAAAAATTAAAATGGGACATAATCTTAAATTCGGTATTAGAAGCTTCACTACATTTGTAATAACACATAAATAATATTAAACTTTACTAAAACCTTTGTTTTATCGTATTTTCCAAGTTAAGGAATGCTATAAATGGATAAAAATCCATAGTCCAATTATAAAATTTATTTAGAGTTGTGAGTTCGAAAAAAAGGTTACACAATTTTTATAATTTCTATAAATAATTTCTATAATACTATGTAATACTATTCAATAATTTTCTATGAACTCCTAAACATATTAAAGTACAGTAAAAATTCTGTTTTTTATCCATAAAAAAATGACTAGTACAAAGAAATAGAAGTTAATGTCGTTTACTATACCATAGTATAACCTAAATTACAGGTTCTCGCGCAAAGCCACCGTTATCATCGTCGACATTTCGGGTTCTCATCCATAGTTATTCGTTTTAATAGACGCGCAGCGCATTATTCTCATTAGTATAATGCTCGCCGTACTACAATTTGCGTAATGTGGTCTTAATAAATTCAATTGCTCCTGCTAAGCATATGCCTCTCAACGCGATGCCAATGTAACGGCTGGGCCAGCTAGGACATACACCACCGGGGATCCCAGCACCGGGGCGAACTTCCATGTAAAACTACAATGGCGTCGCCTAAGCAGGGACTTCTACCGAAACGTAAAATACCGGTATTATACCGGTATTTTCGGTTGTACCTTCGCCCTATATAACCCAAAATAAGGCCTACTCTTATAGAAACCGAAAAAATACCGATATTCATTTCGGTTTCCGGTAATAAATCGGTTTCGGTAGAGCTTCAATGGCATAAAACCGGTATTATATCGGTATTTTCGGTTGTACCTTCGCTCTATATAACCCTATTTAAGGCCTACTCTTATAGAAACCGAAAAAATACCGATACTCATTTCGGTTTTCGGTAATAAATCGGTTTCGGTATAGCTTCAATGGCATAAAACCCGGTATTATATCGGTATTTTCAGTTGTACCTTCGCTCTATATAACCCTATTTAAGGCCTACTCTTATAGGAACCGAATAAATATCGGTATTCATTTCAGTTTTCGGTAATAAATCGGTGTCGGTATAGCTTCAATTGCATAAAACCGGTATTATATCGGTATTTTCGGTTGTACCTTCGATCTATATAACCCTATTTAAGGCCTACTCTTATAGACACCGAAAAAATACCGGTATTCATTTCGGTTTTCGGTAATAAATCGGTTTCGGTATAGCTTTGATCGCATAATACCGATATCAGAATCATACCGGTTTAAGTCTGTGCACCTAAGCATCGTTTCTAACGACAAGTACATATACATATCGCATTACGGAGCGTGAATCGCTTATATTAATCTAGCACGTCCACGTAGTACGGCAAACATAGACAACAAGTACACCCGCCAGTGATACGATGATTGCCCCGATCGCAGCCTGCGCGAGCTAGGAACATTAGAGAACGTCCGCCATTTTGAGGGGCAAACAACCGAGTTGACAAATAAGCCGTGCTGCGAACGATGTTTGACAGAATAAGAGTGCGTCATTATATACTTTCGAGAAGTTCAGACTTGAGATCGTTTATACAATTAACGTTTAATAGGTGTGTTAATGTTGAATGCAGAAATTTTTATCGTATAAGGTTATAATTCGTTATTTAGATAAAGAGTTTCGAATAACCAATAGAAGATAAAGTATTGCGCCATTTTTTTATTGATTAACCCTTGTGTGGGTAACCAAAAATTTTATTCTTCGCCCAATAAGAAGACTCTTATTCTTGCCTTTATGAATTACCTTATGAAATGTAATTTTGCTTAAAAATCAGCAGTCTAGTAATAATAGTATTTGAAAAGGGGGAGGGGCTGGGGCTAGTGGAAGGCTGCTGTGACGAGGCAGAAACGAGAGACAGAGGTCCAATCGTCGAATTAGACGTGCTCTGTCCTCGTCCGCCGAGTTGCGTTCGCAGACACGATTACTGCAATAATATATCGTTACACCTACTTGGGTCAATGGCCCACTTCTCACGGGGGGGGGGGGGTGGGAGGGGAGAGAATCGTGTAATGTGTTGCTCATTTTTTATTCTGTCAGTCGTCGTCGGCGTACGCGACCCGATGAAACATTACGCAATTCGTGCATTGACCGTCCGAACGGTGATAAATAATCACGCGGTTGTTGACACCGGTAGAATTTGGACGTGTGTCACGCCGTCCTTCGACCCCTTCCGACAAGCTTTTTTTTTTTATTATAATCGTGACCCTGCTACGGTTCGTATGTTTCACGGATGTAACCGAAGTGGTCAAGAATATGATACGAAACAGTAATAAACAGTAAAGTTAACATTAGATCTAATACACTTTCTGCCTTATTCTAGTCACAATAAAATCCTTAAGAAATTAATGAAAACCCAATCTTCACATTTGTCTTTACAAAACCCCTGAAAAAATGTTATTTTGCATAAAGTCTACATACAATATATGATATACAATTTCGTATAGTCGATTAAAGTTTTTTTTTAAATCCACGTTCCTGATGAATAATAAAACTTTTCTAGTTACATCGATTTATATATCGATATATTACGAAAGAATTGTCGAAGCGAAAAACTACATGACTTACACCACTTTCATCATCACTGATACATTTACGACTCGACCTGAATAGTTCAGGTAACCAAGATTCTATTAAATCGAGACACGTGAACTGAGGGAGGGGGGAAACATATTTTTCACCAGATGTCAGAGTAGGCGTTCTAACCACGTGCCGTACGTTTCTTTGTCCTACAGAGAACGCAGACTGTACAACGATTCGTTGCCGCGAGGGGCAGACGTGTCTGTCGGAGATGAATTCGGGGCGACCACGTTGCGTGACCTGTACCTTCCGTTGCCCCCGGAAACGGGAACGGATCCGGAACCGGACACACCGTGATCGAGATCCATCGGCGACCATGCTCTGCGCCACCAACAACATCACGTATCCGAGTTGGTGTCACATCGTCAAGGACGCCTGCGTTACCGGCTACGTCCTCGAGACGCGACACGCCGGCCCCTGCAACGCCTACGACGCCTCGCCTCTTTACATCGGTGAGTCCACGGGGACACGGGATCACCGTAGATCATATACAGGGTGAACCACGAATCGTGATCAGTAGAGATTACTCTGTTATTAGCAGTCCGATCGAAAATATTTTTTCCACAAAGAATTATAGATACATACTCAGCTATCAGTGCAGCTTAAAGACACCTTAAACCTAAAACAATCGTAAAATGGACGTCTTCAAGGCGTCATGTGCTATCTGGGAAAGATCACAACGTAGAATCACGGCGTACAGTGATTCCTCGACGAATGCGACACGAAAGACTGCGTTATTCCCACCTCTAGGAGGGCCCCCTCTGGAACCAGTTAAAATAGAGTACACAGAAACTAAGCAAAGGCTCGGTTTCGTACAAAAAAAATAAATTTACAAATTTGCTGAAAACCCAGATAGCAACTTACGCCTTGAAGACGGCTTAAAGACGCCTGAGACCTAAAATAGTTGTAAAATGGCCGTCTTCAAGGTGTCATATGCTATCTGGGAAAGATCACAACGTAGAATCACGGCGTACAGTGATTCTTCGATAAATGCGACACGAACAACGGCGTTATTCCCATCACTAGAGGGTCCCCCTCTGGAACCAATCAAAATAGAGTACACAGAAACTAAGCAAAGGCTTGGTTTCGTACAAAAAAAAACAAATTTACAGATTTTCTGAAAACCCAGATAGCAACTTACGCCTTGAAGACGGCTTAAAGACGCCTTAGACCTAAAATAGTCGTAAAATCGGTAAATGCTATCTGGGAACATTTCCGCCTTGCCACGAATACTCCGAAGTAAACCCGAGTTCGTTGCGCTCATCGAGACCTTACTGTACTATTAAAATGAATGGAATCGCCACGGGTGAAGTCTTCCCTGAAGAACAAGAAGAAAAAAAAAACGGAAAAAAGAGAGGCAACATCAGAGTCGTTTTCCATCGCGTGCAGACGGAACGCTCGTTCGGATAGTAACAGCGGGTCTCCGTCGACACCCTCCATTCCGATTTCATTTCGCGGTTTAGCGAGGGAATCGTCGATGTCCGAAGGGGGGCACGGCCGTTTCCCGTGCCGTGATAAAGCGTCGTACGCGTCTGGTCATTTATCTTTTTCTCCACGGAGGCGTGGACCATTCACGGAGCCGTCTGCGGGGCCCGAGCGATCGTCCCGTAATCCACCGTGGAATTCGCCTTGTTCGACGCGCGCGAGTCGCCTCTTTTAGAATACGCGGCGCCCACGCGAGCGCGCACGTTTTGTCCTCGTCGCCTGTTCCGTCCAGATCGACGGACTTTGTACGCGGAAACACACGTCTGTTTTTTATTTTGTTTTTATACGCTGGCCGAAATTTCTATAGTCATTATGTTTTTTGATGAATTCTTATAATTATTCCATATTAATGACAAATTTGTGTTTGTTAGTATTTCGGAATTAATTACAAAAACGTACACATTGGTTTCAAAAAATAAATATAATATTTATTTTAAAAAAAGAAAATACACGATTCAGCAGAAAACAAATTGCAAAATTTCGATAAAGTCATTCGCTTTTTATATAGGTACAGTTGAAATTAACAATTGTTTTACAATATTTCTATATTAATACTTAGTGTAACCTCCATTTTTTTGAATGAAAATAGAAAAACAGATATGATGGAGCAATAGAATTGGTATTTTGAAAGTACACTAGCCGAAATTTCTATAAAGTCATCATCGTTTTCATAGATACAGTGATTCCTCGATGAATGCGACACGAGCACCGGCGTTATACCCACCACTGGGGGGTTTCCCCTCTGGAACCAATCAAATTCTGAAAACTTTTCCCCTTGCCATGAATGCTCCGAAGTGGAGCCGAGTATGTCGCACTCATTGAGACATTACTGTATCAATTAAAGGCAACTGACATCTTCTCAGCTCCCAATTTTACAAGTTCTGCTTGGACTGCTACAACCCACTAAAAATATGATCTAACGAGGTGTCGATAAACGAACGCAGAAAGCTTTAAAAGATTCTTCAGACAGTAGTAAAAAGTGTCGTATGAATGTAGATTGTATTGTCGATATTTCACAGTTATGTCGCTCATATAGTATATACTTTATTGAACCATCATTCAATTCATGGAAATCTAAGGGAAGCCTTGAAATGTTGGCGAATAATTTATTGAATTTGTACAAATTGAAAGAATTCATTGTGCAACAGTCTTGTATTCTTTGGGCGGTCTGAATGCCGTTTAAAGTGCCCGGGATATACGGGTGTTGTCCGCCCCCAGCACACAGACGTAGAAACCTGTTGCATGCCGGCGCGAGGTAACGGGGGAGCTTTTACGCATTCGATTTATAGCGTCCTAAATTAATTTTACCGCTGAATTTCACGATTGCACGTGTGAGCACAGGTCCGTTACTTTTGTGGCACGAACCGGAATTCATGGAAACGGGTGAAATGTTTTGTTCGTCACGGGTATATGCGTGTTCTCTCGAGGTGGCACTGTCACCTTTTACAGTTGTCATTGGAAAGACGAGTCGTCCGATAGTAACAATTTCTTCTTACGTTTGAACGTGTTATTTTATTTGTAACACGTGAAGCGAATCATTTTGTGAAGGGATCGGAAGATCGAATCTATTATCTGGTCTATATACAGAAGCCAACAAAGAAGTTACCATTTTTTTTATTCTTTGTATTGCTATTATTTGAGCCGTACATTTGCCAAAGTGATTACGTCCACAAAAGTTACACATAAAATGCATTTTAAATATAGAATATTAAGCGCCAGTCGAGGCGCTACAATTTTTAAAAATTAAAAAAAAATGGTGAAAGTCACTTTGGCCGGCGAACGGCTCATTTTTTAACATTAACTTAAAACCATAACCGTTTTAGTATCTTAGAGCCGATATGTCGACTTTGTGGGTTTTCCGAAAAATATCTTGAGCCAATATATCGGCTCTCCATTAATTAATATAATTTAAACACATGTAATAACACTTTATTTTTATAAAATAATTTTACATAGTGTAACATACGTTTACTGGATAGAGATAATACAATTTTTAAAAACACGTGATAACATCTTCATTTTTAAGAGAAATGTGTTAATTTTAATGGATACCTCAAAAATCGAATATTTTTCAAGGCATTTTTTGTACTGGGTTTTATACAACTTTTAATTCTGTATCGGAATATATATATTAAACATATACTGAAGTTTTAAGTTAACGTTAAAAAATATTTAAAATAAAACAAATCGAAAAAGTGGTAATTTTTTTGTCCGCTACTGTATATATAGTATTTATAATATTATATTAGTGGGTCTATGTTCATTGTTATTCCGCGTACATTAACATTTTCAATGGTTGTCTTCGTGGCCGACAATACCAGGAACGTGTTTCTTTTTCTGTATTGTATCATAATGGGGGCGCAGCTGAACGCGAGATTCCTTTATGCTGCAAACGTGACTGTATCGTAATTACATCAGGAAACGATACAATGACGGTTCACTGTTACGCAAATTATAAGAGAGAAAGAGATCGTAAATACGTTCGCGAACAGAAGCCTTTGAATAGTTCGCATTGTCTTTACGCAGTAAACCACAAAGCCAGAATAACGGTGCTACGTTTTCCGTCTCACTGAGCCGGTCACAGGAAAGCCGAACTATGTGGCACGCATTTAATGTTAACATTTCAATTCAATGAATACCTGTATTTTTTTAATGTACTCGACAAATTGGCACTTTTTTTCGCAGAGAAATCGTACGTTTTGTTACTAGACGGTTCCAACAGTTCGTGCACTGTTACTATATGTATAGAATTTAACTCTTTAATGGTGGAATTTTATTTTGGAAAGGTGTATCTGCATGCATGATTAATTTGATTCTTTAATTCTAATAAAAGAATCATATTTTTCAATTTTTACTGAAATTTCTATTTTTATATCAAAGGGTATGTTATTTTTCACACGATGAGTATATTCGTCATTACCCAAGAAAGGGTAATTTTTTTCACATAAATTTGTAATAAAGTGAATGACCATATTAAGCTGCGTATCCACTTGTTGCGTATCCTCGTATCGTATCAGTGTTGTGTATCGATATGGACGGGCAAGTGTTGCATCGTTGCGCATGAAAATGTATCGTATATTGATACGATACGATGATACGCAACAAATGGATACGCACCTTCACAGCATCTAACACATTAACGATTACAAGGATTATAATTATAATTGTCATGCCGGCAGATCGAAAGCTCAAATCGCAAAAGCAGAAGGTAACCAGCGATTGAAACATAATAACGATTCTTTGTTTTTTGTTACCGTTTGTTACAGAAAAGGACAACACATCAAGCAACTACGGCCTCGATCTGGCAGACGAGGACGCGAGATTCGAGGACACCGAATCGGACTCGTTATCGTACAACGCGCAAACGCATCATTCGCTGGCGTTGTCGTAGCGCGCGATCGATCGTGATCGCTCGATCCTTTTCGCCGCACGATAAATCGTCGATCGCCCCTATCCAGTTCTGTCTTTGTTTACGACACTGTTTACGGGGAAAGGAATCGCGAGGCGTCGCGGGAAACGTCGATCCAGGTTATGGAAACTTTGGGTATCCAGAGAGGACGGGGAACCGATACGACCGGGACACCGCGTCAAGCTTCCTACAGGATGCGCCTAGAGGGCACGGCGGTCGTTTAATCGTCGTAACGAGACGACGCACGGTGCGCCACGTGCCCTACGCGACGGATAAGATAGGTTAAGGGGGCGGATCAGTATTCTTTTTCTTCGTTTTCGAAGGACCTGAGAGCGTGGAAAGCCGGTCGAGTCGAGACGGATTAGCACTTTCGCGATTGGACGCGCTGTTGCTCGGGCTCTTTTGTTAGGACACGACAGCCACTTGGACAGGTTTGTATCTATTATTTGCTGGGAAGTTCAGAAACATTAAACACCGAGTTTAACCCCTTGCCCTATAACATCGAGTCAGACTCGTGTGGACGATTTCAAAATCGATTCAACAAAGAATATTATTCGGTTTTCTATGAGTCGAAGTAAAATGCTACGTTGCTGGCATTAATATTTAACTTTTACAGTAAAAATACAGTTGCGATAAGTACAACATTCCTTTCGTTTCTGGGAAACTATCGACAGCAATGTAATCCTGGAGTCTTCAGACGTCAAGAAAATCGTAGGGCAAGGGGTTATGAATTTGAGCTTTTTCAATTGTATCTCGATATCCACATTTACCAGATTGTGACATTCCAGCTGACTAATGGTGACTTGACGTACGACGTCATTAAATCTCTAAACGTAGAAATTATTGTAACCAGTCAACCAAACCTGCAAAACCACATTTTGTCCATTTGTGTATGGGAACAAGTTCGATGCAAGATTTGCTTATAAATCATTTACGCGCAAATTGGCTCGCGCAGACTCTGTTCCCTTTTTGCCCCCAAATTGACACAGGTTGTTTTGCAAGACTCGCAGCCAATTTGCTTTACTATTTTGTCAGCAGGTGTTGTGTGCAAAACCCAAGTTAAATGCAGAAACAGATGGCTATGATTTTCTATACAAATTTTGTCTTTATTTACTGGCAACTTGCTCGAAACTTGCACACAACTGGTTATCATGGTAGGAACTGGAATATTAAGGATTCATGGAATCTGGTAAAATTGGTTTACCGCAGGATTCGTTCATACATAGTCAGTCGCTCGAACAATAATCCATTAAGTTTCAACGCGATTGTCTTTTTGCCTGCTATTACGAAAGAAAATGTGGCAAAAGCCATTACGAAAAAGCGAATCGAGTGTCTGTAAATGGTGCCCTGTAATAGCTTCGAACGATGCAAACCTGCGTGTAGTGAAACAAACTTCCAACCGTAATTTTGTGTTTATAATATAAAACGACGATGTAATATAATATGTTTATATTATAAACTCATCGGAAATTGCAATGGCTCCTGTCGATCGCGTAGCAATGCTGAATGTCTGTTGAACCTTCATAGAGGGCGTTACTCTTAGGTGAACGTAACCGATCGCGAATGTGTTAATACCGTTTGGAATAGATTCAAACGATCTCCGAAGGACTTTGACATTAGTTGGATCTGTGGCGTAGCAATTGTACTTGTTATCACTACTCGACGAGCGTAGATCAGACACGTTGAATTTTAGAGTCCAAAGAATATAGGACGCGCAGCTAACCGGATGTTTTTACACGCGACACTCGCAGAAGCAATTATAGTAATGTCTCGATGAGTGCGACGAACTCGGGTCTATAAATTTGTTTTTTTTTGCACGAAACCGAGCTTCTACTTGGCATCTGTTTATTCTGTTTTGATTGGTTCCAGAAGGGTACCCCCCAGTGGTGGGGATAACGCTGTTGTTCGTGTCGCATTCATCAAGGGATCACTGTATTGGCGATCCGTTGTCCAGAGCAGTCGCACGACTGTTTTATCGTGCGACGATCGACTCTGGCATGAGGTACTCTCTTAATGAGACTGTTCCTTCGTTCACAGACGACTCTCATTCTGAAACCCTGTTTCAATTACACAGCCGGAAATTTCATCGAGCACGATTCTTGTCGAATAGAAATATATTGGGTCGTTAACCGTCCGTAGGCAGACATATTTTTTCCCAGCCCCTGTGCAAACTGGATCGTTTATATCCAAGCCGAATTTTTGTAATTTTTTAGGTGTTTAAAAAATCTGAAATACTTATCTAAGTTTCTATTATATTACACAGGCGTTCTTCAAATCAAAAAACTTTTTTCAACAGAAATAAAAAGTTGGGGGACATTTGAGGGAAAATAAAATTGCGCCTGGGTCGTCAATGACTCACATTGCCTACGGAGGGTTAAGTATGAAACTTGACAAATAACGAAACACAAATTTTGACATTTATTATCTCTCTTTTGGCGCCAAAATTTCACTGCCAGGTTAGGTTAGGTTGAAAAATACGTCTTCGCTTTTCATAAGTCATATTTGTTTGTTGAAAATATCTTTATTAGTTTTATCGACTGACCCATTTTTGTGAAACTTTGGAAGTGTCGAAAATTCGTATGCTTTATGAATACGAGTAATGTCAACTATGCGTTTATCAGGAACCTGTATACCATCATCTTACAAAACCCCGTTAAAATCAAACTCGAACAATTGAGGTCCTTCCCTTTAAAAAGGATCGGTACCCACATGCCACCCTTAACCCTGGAATGGTCGCATTTAATCTGACACACGAGTTTTTGCAATGTAACATTTTCGCTAAGGAAAAAGTTATTTCAAATCATCCCAGGAACCCCTCATTTCCGGGAGTCGAAGTTATTTTGGGATACGCTGTATAAGAAAAAAAAATATCAATCGTGTCCTGCTCCGCCGATACGGTGTATCGTTCAACCGGGACCGGAACCTGCAGAATATTTTCTCCACTCGCCAGAGAGTGAGAGAAAGGGGAAGAGGGAAATATTTCACGCTTAGGAGCGGACAGTTAACGATCACCCATGGAAGTTATGCGTTCTTAAACGTGCATAAGAATATCGCACAGTCTATATCCACGATTATTAAGTCCTGCAACGGTTTCGTTCCCCCTGTGGTCTGGCGCCGGTTGAATTCACGTAATATTCGTACTTAATTTATAATAGTTTCGCGACGCGGTCAGTTACGGAGCCCCTCCCCCCCCCCTCCGCTTATTCTCCACGCGTTTTATCGACCATAGACACGGTATCTATACAGGTTCTTCTTTTTTCTTTTTGCTTTTTATTTCTTCGCTTCAGGCGAATCGTATATTTGTTGGTTAATCTACGCGTGTCATTTTCCCGCGGCCACTGGTTGAAACCCATGCCAGAGGTTCATTACGGAAGGATTGCGCGCGCGCAGAAAGGACGTTCTCGAGAAACGAGTAATTTGTGGAAAAATTGATAGACCGGACACCTGGGAGTTTTCTGTCGTTAAATTACTTTACCCACGGTGTACGGATGTTCCCCACTCATATCAAGATAAATGATCATAAATTATTATATATATTATAACTGCAAGAAAAGTGAGATAGTTGCCGAAACTAAAATGGCATTAAACGTTTGGGAAATCTTGAAATGTTCTTGCGAATCATTTGTCTGTTATGTAATATAGACAAAAGTACAAAAAATATTTTTCTTTCTGTAATTGTTAAATAATTTGGAAACGAAAGGGTTAAGGGTGTGGGTCCCAATTTTCTCGACCTATTTCAGTATTTTCTTCTGATTTGTCTGAATCAAACAGGAATCAAATGTCTGATTTTTAAACCAATTTTTCAAATTGCAGTACAGTTTCAAACAATTCTATTTCGTTCTGCACATTTACAGTTTTCACATTATGTTCTTAATTTTTCAGTGTTATACAGATCTGCTTATAGTTCGATACATCTTCATAAATCAATATACCTACACCCTAAATTCTGTCATGCAGCAAGATTTTCAATCTTATTACATCTGCAGCTACTGAAAGGGCTCCGTAATACAGACAAAAACATATTAATTAAATGCATTACAAAGATTTAATTTTTTTATTTAAATAAAAATTTCTTTATAGCTAGGAATTGTTTAACAACAGATACTGATTTTCAGAATATGAAATTCAATAAATAAAAAATTACCCTACTGTTTCCACAACGTAAATAATTACAATAAAAAAAAAGGACATCGTAATCTCATCAATTCACAAATTCGACGTACTCTCGAGTCCTACAATTCACATCTCACGACGAAACTTTCCGAGAGGAATTCGAAAATTCTCGCTTCCACCGGTCCCCGCCATTTTGTATTCGTTTCTTCAGAACTCTGTCCCCCATGAGACTGCGAATTTTATGGAATGCAAACGTCCTGACGGCGAGCCCATGCTCGCGAAAACAATTAACGTTCCTGACAGGCCACAAAAAGCGTTCCGAGAAAAATGAACGGACGCGTCGCGACACCCCGCATCGCACAAAATACACAAGGATTCGAATTAACTGGCGTAAAATGGCCAGGGTAGGGTAGTGGGAAACGCAACGGAATTTGTCGCGTTCCTTTTGCGTCGACAGCGTTTTCGGAAAAAAAAAAAAACTGAGTTTGAAAATTCATCTGAACCACGTGTACTAGGGCTGGCAATAAGTAGAAACGGTCTGTAATGAACAGACACGCCAGACAAGTCCTATTCTACTGCCTGTGTATCGAATAAATTTTTTTCTGTACCTGTAGATACAGTTGGATAAAACTTATCATTAGACTGCGGATTTTATGCATTTATAGCCTATACGTCTCTGTGAAATACAATGAAGGACAAAACTTTCGTCAGATGTAACGACTTTTCTATTGTCTTTGGAAACCAATAAGATACTTAAGGGCAGAAAAAAATTCTTACTTTTGTTTTTGAGCAACCTTCTGAAATGTGATTTTGCATAAAAATGCGCAGTCTACTTATCACACAAAACAAGTAAAATATAAATTTGCGTT